CAGGCCTGGCCGGGGGGTTCTGCGCGGGGCGTCGCTAACGCGGGACTCGGGGCCGCCCGCCGCAGTGAGCCCCTTTCTTTCCTGCACCGCCCGTTACCGGCGCGGAGCCCGCGGTGAGCTTCCGGCTCCACGACAGCTGCGCTCCGGCTCGCCCGGGCACCGAGGGGCCCGGGATCCCCTTAGCCGTGCGCAGTCGCCATGAGCGGTCGGTCTCGCCCGGGTGCTGGCCCATGCCTGCTCCCCGGTGACAGCGCCTAGCGAGCGTCTGCCGCAGGGGGTTCACGCTCGCTCTTCAGGTGCCACCGTGCGCGGAAATTGGGGAAACCGTATGGGATTGGACGAGGGTGAAGGATCCAGGCGTGATCTAGGAGTCCAGTCTTTTAACTGCAGACCCAAGGAGAAAATCCTATTATAATAGAAGGAAGGCCTATATCGCATATTGTAAGAAGTAGTAGATAGTTTAAAAACCGTCAACATTGATTAGAAAGGATTACCTGTCGCCTCTAAACACACGACATAACTCTCTAGACGAAAAAGTGAAATCTTTCTCAGCCAGGGAGGAATTAATGGATAATTGTGTATAGGTAAACGGATTTATTTACAATAGAGAAATTGGAGAGGCAGTTGAGAGTCCAAGCTCTGAGAGAGCACAACCACAGATAATGCAGTGGATATTAGTAAGAACTTTGTAGTCAGTAAACAGATAATGTAAAATAAAGATTTCGTTATTTTGATTATGCTATTTTATCTTTAAAGATATTTTTATTGTCAAATTTATCTTCTCAGATATACTGGCACAGTGTTTAAAGACTGTTAGCTCAGTTTTGAACTGTGACCATGGTTTGCCATTAAAATATTTTAAAACAAGAAACCCTTTTCTCCTTTGTGTGTTTTTTTAAGTTTAAAGTTTTCAGTCTGCACTTTCGGTTCTTAAAAGAATGACACATTTTTGAACCTAGGCATATATGGCTGGGTTAGACATTAGAATGAGCCAAATAGTTTATGAACTTCTTTTTCTGAGAAATCTTTTTTTTTTTTTCTTTAAGGGAAGAGAGGAGATCAGTCATTGATCCTATCAAATCCTTTAATTTTATGGGTGGAGATTAATCTAGAGGACATGACCTACCTTTTCGTTTTCTTAACTATATTTCCTGTATGTTCAGATACTTTTCATCAGAATAAAAGCTGAAGTAGCTAGTCACATTCCCAAACCATGTATTTATGTTGTCCTCATGTGAATCTTGTTCCTTGACATATATGTGGCAGTATTTTTCCTATACTGCTTTAATGAAGCGAAAAGGAGATTCCAAGCATAAGGCAGATGCCCTAGGGGTGAGTTGTGAGTCCAAGACACAGCCATTTACAGTTTATTGACTTGAAATTAAAACCATTTTCTTGTAGGAAAGGAGCTTGTTTGGAAATTTTCAATTAAGAGGCTTAAGGTTACCATATCTTGTGCAGTAGTTGTATCTTCTTAATGGATACAACTTTCATTTTCTTGTGGAATTTGTTAAAATTCCTGATACTATGGTGGCACATGTCTTTAATCCCAGTACTCTGGAGGTAGAGGCAGGAGAATTGGTGTTAAGTTTGAGGCCAGTCTGGTCTACATAGCAAATTCCAAGCTAGCTAGAGTTACATAATGAAACCTGCCTCAAAATAAATAAATAAAACAAATTAAGCTCAGATTTCATTTAAGCTTAGGATAATGTTTTAACTTTTATATACACTGTTTCATAAGAATGTTTGGGAAATTGCCATTAGTGTGGAGTTTAAATCTTTTACTCTCCGAACTTTCCTTGTCTTTAAATTTTAGGCTTAGTATTTCTACTCTAAAGACCTCTATTTTATGGACATGTAGGTTTTGTTTTTTTTTTTAATCTTGTTTTGTGTGCATGGATATTTTGCCTGTCTGTTATATACTTGCACCACATGTGTGTGATGCCCCAGAGGGCTAGAAGAGGGTGTCAGATCTTGTAGAGCTGCAGTTACAGAAGGCTCTAGCAGCCTTATGAGTGTTGGAAACCCAATTGAGATCCTTTGAAAGAGCAAGCAGTGAATGCTCTTAACTGCTGAGCCATCTTAAGTCCCCAGGTAAGTAGGTTTTTAGGAGAATATAGAATGTTTTGTTTACTGTCATATTTAGGAAATTCACTTAGAAGTTTGGGAGATTTTTAATACTTTAAGTGATTTATTTATAAATGTGATGGGCATGTTACTAAACTTATTAGCAATTCTTTGTCACTGGTCATGGTTTCCTGGTTAGTTATACTCAGTTTCTGAGCCTAGTAGTCCAGCTACTGACTCAAATCAAACTCTCTTCATTTAAAAATTTAATAGAGAGGCTGGTAATTAACCCCATGTACTGCTCTTTCAGAGAACCAGAGTTCTGTTCTCAGCATCTGTGTCAAATGACCCACAGCTTTCTAACTCCAGTTTCAAAAGATCTGATGCACTCTCTGGCCCCTGTGGGAAGCTACATTCATTTGCTTATACTCCCATACATACACATGCTTACACATAACTAAAAATAAAAGAGTCATTTAAAACCATTAACCTGATGTGGTTAATCACAATGGCATATATAGTCATAATCCCAGCACTTGGGAGAAAGGAGGGTCCTTCATTCAAGGTCAGCCTGGGGCACATAGCGAGACTATGTTTCAGAAATTTCCATAGTAAAATATTAAATAAATCACAATGTGTTCCTGAAGCTTCTGTTGCTTTTTTTTTTTTTTTTTTTTTTGGTATACATTTTTGTTAAGAACATGGAAACATGTTGGTGAGGTGGTGTATTGGGTAAAGGTACTTGCTGCCAACCCTAACAACCAAGTTAATCACTGGGACCCACGTGGTAAGAAGCAGAGAATCAATTTCTCTTTAAAGTTGATCTCTGACCTCCACACAAATACACATACATACATGCACAATAAATAAATGGAATACATTTAATAGAATGTGGGCTTAACAAAAAAGAGAGAATGGAAACAAACTAGGAAAAATGTAACTGCATATGTACTTTATTGCCATATCAGTAAAATGATGTAATTGAAATGTAAAATTCTGATTTAGGAATATTTCTTTCACTTCTCACAGATTTACTTAACCTAATTTTGTCCTGTTACATTTCCTCACTAAATTGTGCATGTTTTGTTACATAAACTTAAAGCTAAAATGTCACTGACTTGGTCATAACATGAAATTCACCTTTATCCCATAGAGAGTAGTGTTTAGATTTATATCCATTTTAGCATCCACAATGTAGAAGTTTTTTCTTTTAGATTTTTTTTTGAGATAAGGTTTCTTTGTGTAAGAATTCTAGCTGTCCTGCAATTTGTTTGTAGACTAGGCTGGCCTTGAATTCACAGAGACCCGCCTTCCTCGGCCTTCCAAGTGCTGTGAGTAAAGGTATGTGCCACCACTGTCTGGCTCATTGTGGTTTTTAAAGAAAAAATGACTATACTTTCTAAGTTTGAGGTCAATATGGCACTCATGTTCTCTTTGTCTACCATGTGGGTCCTAGCGGTTCAATTCAAGTTATGTCTGACTTGATGGCAAGTGTCTGTACCTGCTTAGGCATTTCACACAGCTCCTTTTTGATTTTTTGGTTTTTGTTTTTTTTTTTTTTTTTTTGAGACAAGAGTCTTATGTAGTCCAGAGGTTGACCTCAAAGTTGATTATGTAGCTGATAGTGGCCTTGAACTTATCTTCCTGCTTTCAGGAAGTGATGGGTGTGCACGCGTGTATAACCATGTCTGACAACAATTATTTTTTTTATATTCAACATTTCCCTCCAATTTTCTTGTTTCATAAATTATCACGATCTCATATTGAGTGAAAATACTGAAGTGTATTTTGTTTTAAATGTATTTCTTTTTTAATGGACGGCTTTATTCATTTAGGTTCCTCTGCTTATAAGTCAGAGATCATTTGCCAGACTATTGCCAGACTATTAGTTTTATTAGAGTTGTTCAGTTGTCGCCAGAGATTTGCAAATGATTCATGCATATCTTGAGAATCACATAATGATTTCATTGTTGCTCACAGGTTTAATATTTTAAAAGCAGTTTGAATGTTAATTTTGTTTACAATATATCTTGTAGACTTATGTATAAAGATAACTCCTTAAAATGATTTTTCTTCTTTTTACCCATTAAAATTTTAACCCATACTAAGATAAAGTTTTAGTACTATGTGTCCTAGAAAAAGCAAAGGAACAGAGACCATTAACTTATGTGTGTGTTTAAAAGAGAAGAGAAAGGACTATGATAGTAAGTTATATAAGAAAAATGCCAAGAAGGAAATTCAACTGCTCAGTAGAGAGCTGACAGCCAGAGCTATTGAATGAATAAACAAGGATTATAAGGGAAAGTTTGGTGAAAAGAACCTTGATGTATTAAATGTGTTTTAGTGTCAATCATATGACTTCATCATAAAAATGTTGTTATATTCAGAGGTGAGATAATTGAACTAATTAGCTGATTGATTGTCCATAAAATTTATTTTAGGACATCAGAGTTATAAGCTGGATGTTGTTGGTGCATGCTTTTTATCCTAGTATTTAGGAAGCAAAGACAGGTGAGTCTCTGAGTTCAAGGCCAGCCTGGTCTACAGAGCCAGTTCCAGGACAACCAGGGCTACATAGAGAAACCCTGTCTTGAAAAACAAAGTTATGAAGTAGTAATTGTTTATGTTTCATAACCTGTAAAAAGACAGTGACATTGTAAAAGATAAAGTCTTGGAGCTGGAGGGATGGCTCAGAACTTAAGAGCACTGACTGTTGAGGTCCTGAGTTCAATTCCTAGCAACCACATGGTGGCTCACAATCATCCATAATGGTGTCCTCTTCTGACATGCAGACATACACACAGGTGGAACACTGTATATATAATAAATCAGTAGAATTAAAAAAATAAAAAGAGGTAATGTTTTGATCCTTGGGAATATCAGTACTCACAAAAAGTTAATAAATTTCTTTGAGTATGGATATGGTTAATATTTATTGCAGAACTAGCAAGTTGTCTCACTTCAAATTAGGTAGTAATGTCCACTGTCAGCGCTTTTTTTTTTTTCTTTTTTAAGACAGAGTCTCACTATGTAGCCCCTCAAGGATCAGATTGGCCTGGAACCCAGATCATCTGCCTACATCTACGTCCCCAGTGCTGGAATTAAAAATGTGTGCCACTACACTCTTCTTATGGGAGATAGATATATATTAATAAGAGAAAAGAAGTCTTGAGGGATGGATAGAATTGAAATAATAAGTTAGGGTTGTTTGTACGATATTTGTTGTATA